CAACGTCATCAACATCATCATCCTCATCGTCGGGACACCATCACCACCACCATCACCAAAAAACATCACCATTACCATCATCATCATCGGCACACCATCATCGTCATCATCGTCATCATCATCAACATCCTCATCACCAGCATCGGGACACCAACCGCATCATCATCATCATCATCATCGGAACACCACCATCATCATCATCTCATCACTATCACCATGAACAACACCATCAACATCATCATCATCATCGGGACACCATCATCATCATCACCAACAACAGCATCATCATCAACATCAGCATCGTCGGGGCACCATCACCATCGTCACCATCAGCATCAACAGCATCATCACCATGACACCAGCATCAGCATCATCGGCAGCATCATCATCACCACAATCATCGGGCCACCATCATCCATATCATCACCATCACCTCGTCATCACCATCACCGTTATCATCGGGACACCATCATCAACATCATCAACATCAACAGCATCATCACCGGGACACCATCATCACCATCACCGACAGTATCACCATCAACCTCATCATCATCATCATCATCGTCGGGACACCATCAGCATCGTCATCATCATCATGTCATCATCATCGCATTATCATAATCCACAACACCATAATGATCGGGGCACCATCTCATCACCATCACCAGCAATATCATCATCAACATCATCATCACCGGGGCACCATCAGCATCACCGCCATCACCATCATCATCAACATCGTCGACATCAGCATCATCATCATCATCAGCATCATCATCGGGACACCATCATTATCACCACCACCACCATCATCATCAAATCATCCACATCATCGACATCATCAACATCATCATCATCATCGGGCCACCGACGGGACACCGGCGGGACACCGCGGGCCACCGGCCCCCGGAAAGAAATCATTTGGTCTGGCCGCGCCCCAGCCGGAGGCGGGACACCAGCGGGACACCGCGTGCCACGGGCCCCCGGAAAAGGAATCGTTTGGTCCGGCCGCGCCTCAACTGGAGGAGACTTTCTTCTCGCCCGCCCACGCAGCTTCGCCTCGCCCGCACGCGCGGCACGCACGAACACGAAACCAAAACCGATTTCCTGGTCGGCGGGCTCTCCGTTCTACTTCGATCTCTCCCCCTCACCTCCGACATAATTCGTGGGCGTAGCAACGCCTTCTGCTGCGTTCGCAATGCAGGACAGCGCTTTGCGCGCTATGTCAATACAGCGCCTTGCGCTAAACGTGGCATTCGCCAGCATGCATTGCAAGCAACAGGCAGCTGAAGAAGGGATGCGGCATGGGCAACGAACAGCGCCATGCGTTATTGGCTGCGCGGCGCTCGCACGCGCCACGATGTGCGATCTAACAGCACCATGCGCTATGCGACGTGGAGAGGTCGTGCGTCCACGGGGCGACTATGAGCAGGGCTAGGATCACACCTGCCTGTGCCTCATGTGTTCAACCCTGTGCCTCACTGCCGCCGGGTTTATATAAACCAGGCCTCATGGAACTGGTGGCGACAAGTTCGCAGATCGAAGCCCCCCAAGGACGGCGAGGTCGCATGGTGGTCCCCGTGAGGCACCTTTCCGCTGGACCTCCCACTGGCCCACGGAAATGGCGACAGTTGCGCAGATCGCAGCCCCCCAGGGACGGCGAGGTCTCATGGTGGGCCCCGTGAGGCACCTCTCCGCTGAATCTCCCAGGAGCACACGAAAGGGGCGACAGTTGCGCAGATCGCAGCCCTTCAGGGACGGCGAGGCTTCGTGGTGATCTGCGCGGTACACCCCTCCGCTGGACCTCCCAGGAGCCCAAGAAAGTGGCGACAATTTCGCGGATCGCAGCCCCCCAGGGACGGCGAGGTCTCGCGGACATGTGCGCGGGACACACCTCCCTCCCAAGAGCCTACGGAAGTGGCGGAGTTTTGAGATCGCAGCCCCGCAGGGACGGCGAGGTCTCGTGGTGGTGATCTGCGTGGGAAACCCGCCGGTGGACCTCCCAAAAGCCCACGAAAGCTGTGACAATTGCGCAGATCGCAGCCAACCCGGGAACTGCGAGGTCTCGTCTGGGTGTGTGTGGGACACCACTCCGCTGGCCCTCCCAGGAGCCCACGAACGTGGCGACAATTGCGAAGTTCGCAAGCCCCCCAGGGATGGCGAGGCCTCTTGCTGGCTTAGAACGTCACTCCGCCACACCTCCCTGGAACCCACGACAGTGGCGACAGTTGCGCAGATCGCAGCCCCCCAGGGACGCCGAGGTCTCGTCCGGGTGTGCGTGGGACACCAGTCCGCTGGCCCTCCCGAGCACAGCGCAGATCGCAGCCCCCCAGAAAACCGCGAAATCTCGTCTGGGTGTGCGTGGGACACCGCTCCGCTGGCCCTCCCAGGGGCCCACGAGGGTGGCGACAGATGCGCAGCTCGCAGCTCCAAAGGGGCGGCGAGGCCTCTTTCTGGTCCTCGTAGAACGTCACCCCGCCAGGCCTCCCAGGAACACGCGACAATGGCGACAGTTGCGCAGATCGCAGCCCCCCAGGGAGCCTCGAGGCCTCGTCTGGGTGCGCGTGGGACACAACCCCGCTGGCCCTCCCAGGAACCCCAAAAAATGGCAACAAATTCGCGGACCGCAGCCCCCCAGAGATCCGCGAGGTCGTGTTTGGGTGCACGTGGGACACCACTCCGCTGGCCCACCCACCAGCCCACGAAAATGACGACAATTGCGCAAATCGCAGCCCCCCAGGGAGCCGCGAAGTCTCGTCTGTATGTGCGTGGGACACCATTCCGCTGGCCCTGGGACACCACTCCGCTGGCCCTCCCAAGACCCCACGAACGTGACGACACTTGCGAAGATCGCAGCCCCCAAGGCATCAGACGATGATGATGATGATGATGATGATGATGATGATGATGATGATGATGATGATGATGATTATGATGACGACGATGATGATAATGATGATAATGATGCTGCTGCTGCTGATGATGATGGTGATGATGATGATGTTGATGCTGATGATGGAGAGGGAAATGTTGGCGGTGACGTTGATGCTGATGCTGGTGCTGGTGAAGATGACCATGATGATGCTGATGATGATGATGATGATGACCATGATGATGATGGTGGTGATGATGATGATGATGATAATGACGAGGATGATGGTGATACGAATGATGTTTATGTTGACGTCGATGTTGATGATGATGGTAGTGATGATGATGATGATGATGTTGTTGATGTTGATGTTGCTGATGTTGCTGATGATGATGATGATGATAATGATAATGATAATGATGATGATGATGATGATGATGATGATGATGATGATGATGATGGTGATGGTGATGGTGATGGTGATGATGATGATGATGATGATGATGATGATGATGCTGCTGATGATGATGATGATGATGATGATGATGATTATGTCCCCGCATGCAGGAAACGTGGGAGAAGGACGAGGAGGAGGATGGGGGGAGGGAGGAAGGAGGAAGGACGCGAACACACTGCACGATTCAAAACGAGTACCTCAACCACAGGAGGGCTGGGAAAAAACAACCAAGTGCACTGCAGCGCTTGTGTACACCACCGTGCCTGCGTGCACATTATCTGTGTGAGCTCACCCTGCGTGCATCCCGGTGCCTGCGTGCACCACAACGTTTCTCTACACCACCTGTTGCCGCAACAGCAGCGGCAACAACCGTGTGCCCCACGAGGCCCCCGTGACTGCGTGCACCTCTCGGGGCCTGTGGGCCACGTCGGTCATCGTTTTCGTCCTCCTCCTCCCCCTCCTTCCCCTCCTCCTTTTCCTCCTCGTCCACCTCCTCCTCCTCCTTCCTCCTCCTCCTGCCCCTTTTCCTCCTCCTCCTCCACCTCCTTCACCCCGGATTTTTCCTCCTCCTCCTCCTCCACCTCCTCCTCCTTCCTCCTCCTCTTGCCCCTCCTGCTCCTCCTCCTCCTCCTCCTCCTTCAACTCCTACGCAGCTCCTCCTCCCTCCTCATTCCTCCTCCTCCTCCTCCTCATCATCATCATCCTCCTTCTCGGCCTCCTGCTGCTGCTGCTCCTCCTCTTCCTCCTCCTCCACCTCCTCTATGGGAAACTGCACGCGTTCACGCCTGTGGCCAAATTCCCCGCGTCACCGTTACGCGGGGGGGGGAGGGGGGGTAACACGCGTTACGTCCAGAAGTAATAAAATAACGATCTCTACAGAGAGGAAAAAAAGAAGATAGAGCGCGGCGAGTGATCTGGAGCCCACGAAGGAGATGACTGGAGAGGGGAATGGGCCAGAGGGGGCGAGAGCCTGAGCCAGAGGAAAATGGGGGAGTGCGAGGAGCGGGGGAGGGAGGGAGGGAGAAGATGCTGCTTCAAGAAGGGTCCGGATGGGAATCAACTTCGATGGGAAACTGGGTGCGGTGAGAACGCCTGGACAAAACCGAACTGGACGATGGGCTCCTTCCGTCTCCTCCCCTTCCCAGTTCCTCCGTGTGGGTGTAATGCTAGCTCAATCTAGGCCGGAGATCCCGCTGGGTCAGGGGCGCGTCACTCGCGTACTCATTCAGCCGAAAAATGCCAAAACACCATCCGTCGCGATATTGTCACGACGCGAGGATGTCAGGGTCCGTACCAGCCGTCCCATCCCCTGAGCCTGTGGCAACCCATGGGGTCTCGCTTCTTCAGCGGGCGCTCGCCGCCCAACCCCTCGATCCTCTCCCTGGACCTCTTACCCGGAACGCACCTCAACTATGACACTCCGAGGCGAACCCAAGCAGCGGCGACGGTGCTTTCCCCCAGGAGGCCCAAACAGGAGGGCCAGAAGACGAGAGGTGGGGCACAAACATACACTTTCGGAGGCCCGCACGGAGTTCTCGGATCGGCGCTGCCCCTCCCCCTGTCGCGCGGAACGCGCGCGCCGCCCATCCCAGAAGTCCGCGCGGCCAAACCCCCAATTTACATGCTTGCGCGCTGTCTCGTTCTCCCTCGGCTCGCGGCTGCGGGTGCCTCTGCGCCGCGCCGCCTCCATCGCCGGCGCCGCCGCCCCCACGCTTGGGGCTGCGGCTGCGGCCCTCCCGCTTCGGGCTCCCGTCTGCAGCCGCGCCGCCGCCCTCGCCGCGCCTGGGGGCACGGGCGGCGCGCGCTGGCGTCGCCGCCCAGGGGTGCTGCCGGAGGCGGGGGGCCCTCTGGTGGGTGGTCCAGGACGGAAGGAACAAGCCAGCTGGAAAGCGTCGAGTGGCCCGTGCCTCGAGGAAATCAAGCCGCCCGATGCTTGGGACCGTCGGGCACCAAATGCGGATAGCATCGAGGATCTCTCAGAGCCGGCAGGTCCAAGGGATAGATTATGATGGATTGTATCGGGAGCCGCGGCCGTTCCAGAGCGCTCCGGATTCTCTGAGAGGGCTACTTATGCTGATCCCGTGACTGCCGATTTCCTCCTTTCCTCCTGCGCCTCCTGCTCCTCCTCCTGCTTCTCCTGTTTCTCCTGCTTGTCCTGTTCGTCGTCTTCCCAGCTCGTCGTCATACCGCTCCTGCCATGTTTGCAGCAGCTGCGTGGATGAAAGGAGAACTGCTTTACATGATTGAGCTCTGGCCTTAGCGCCGCCGACCATATTCGTCTTTCAAACTTTTCAACAGCTACATGGATGGAGGGGGGTCCTTTTCACAACGGGGCGTTCTCCTTAGCTCCGCCCACACTCGACTTACAAGTTTACAGCATGTTCGAATATAGATGGGGAACTCGCCATGTCGCCGCGCACACTTGTCATAGAGTCGCGACGAATACAAGGATGGAAAAGGGCTCGTGTTTCACCTGTGCCTCTCGCTTAAGACGTTCTTTGACGTCAAGACCAGCAGCTTGAATAGATGTGACATCTGCACGGCTAGGGGGCGGTTCCTTCTCAAAATGGCACTCCCGCTCGAGGCTTCCTCGAACATCACGGCCAGACATGTAACAGGATCCACACATTACACTCTTGGGGCCATCCATTTTTCTAAACGGAGATATCGCTGGACACCTCGTGTAAGTGTATGATCATACCATTCCGCAGTCCTCATTCTTCGCTCGGGAGACGCAAGATAACTCATTTTCAAATTGGGTCCTCTTCCTTATGGCAGGCCCATGCGGTGCTGGTCTTTCAAACCGCTTCTCGTACTGCATGGATGTAGGACAAGGGACCTTGGGACGGGAGGGTGTACTACAACATCTTTAATGCATCTTGGCGTTGCCTTGGTCCTCACATCCTTCCCCCTTCTTCCCGCCTCCTGCTCCACCTCCTAAGTGTAATTTGGTGGTGCCCAAGCGCCTTGCGGAGGTAGCCGCGCAACCTGGCCAGCTCGTCGTGCCGATCTGGGCGGGCATCCCGAGCTTCACCATGTGGATCCTAAGACGGCACTCCCTCCCCATCCCCCCAAACACCCGTCTGAAAATGCCCACCCATGCCGCAACATCTTCCTTTGTTTGTTGACTCGCTCCGCGACTGGGCCTGCCCTGTCGTGTCCCAGCCCTCCTATCTCGACGAGAGGTGCGGTGCCCCCTTCTCCGACGGGTCAGGTTGAACACGGGGCTGACACAACTTCCCGACCGCACCTCATGAAGGAGGTTGTTGCTTACACTCGCCGCCGCCAGCCTTGGAACCAGCGTGCCCATATACTTGCCAAATCTCCCCCTCCTCCTCGATGGCTGGCGGTGATGATAGTGATGGTGATGATGACGACAACGGCATGATGAAGCCAATGACGTCATCGTCATCATCATGTCATCATCATATCATCATCACCATCACCATCACCATCACCATCACCATCACCATCACCATCACCATCACCATCACCATCATCATCATCATCATCATCATCATCATCATCATCATCATCATCATCATCATCATCATCATCATCATCATCATCATCATCATCATCATTGTAAGACGAACCCGTCTGGGCCATGCGACGGTCGGTTGTTGCTTTCTGGTGCTCGAGCAGCTGCCGAGCGGAAGCAAGCTGCGAGCACATGCTGCACGCAGATCTCCTACATGATACTGAGGCCACGCGATGTTGGTACCACGCAAGAAGCTGCGGACACATGCTGCCCTGCTACATGCCACACAATGTTTGATCTTCCTCCAAGCGCCACTCTTATCTGCTTTGTGAGCACAGGCGACCTCGAGCAGACCACAGCGGAAGGCTTCCGCGCGTTGGCCGGGTAGGAGGAGATCACCATGAGCTGCTGCTGCGGCGGGAGGGCCCTCAGCTGCTCGCAGGCCTCCGCGGAGGGAGGCCCGCGCGAGCCCGCGACTCTGGAGCGGCAGGGGCACCAGAAGGAATGCGTGCCCCTCTCCTGGTCCACCCAGCTTCGTGCTTCGCACCGCGCCGCGCGAGTGTCTTCGCGCTCTCACGCGGCACCCCCTGGAGAAGGACGGCCCTCCAGCCCAGGCCGCGACGCGCGAAGCGAGGCAATCTCTTTGCGCCCGTTCTATGGACTGGAGGCCGCCCAAATGGAGTCGGAGCTGATGGGGTCTTCGCTGGTGCATCCGCGATGCGTCGGCGACATCTGGGTGGAGAATGTCGGGTGTGGATCGCGCTGCTTCTCCGAAGCATCACTGTGATGTGCGATCCTCCGACCCTGTCTACTCCGGCCCGTTGGGCGGCCTGGAACTCGGCGGTCTGAGAACAGAAACGCCCACAGGGCCCTCTCCTAGGGCCAAATGAACCGAGGGCGAGGCCATGGTCTCTCCGTCGAAGCAGCACGGCGACTGCCCACCAGACCCTGACTGACTGACGCGGTCCGGTGGGAGGGCGTAAATGCCTGTCTGGATGTTCCATGCAATCAGATAGGGAATGGGCCTGGGCGTTGTCGCTACACCGGGGGGGGCGTAAAGGTGGGGTAGGGACAAAGGTGAGCTTAAAGACAGTTCGCTCTGAAATATCAGCCTCAACCTAGGGTCGCTCCCGAAACCCACCCTGGCCTAACCCCATCTCTACGTACCCCAGACAACACCCCGTTCTGATCAAAGCGCTAACAAACATCATAACAAATACTGCCAAGATCCTGAAGATGGGAGGGGGTGAAGGACTGGGGTCCTGCGTGTCGGCCATGGGGCTTCGTCGGCGTTCGGCAATCGGTGGCATTCTATTGCGCGAAGGATGGACGGTTGAGTGTAACAACGGGGCCACGATCGAACACCAAAAGAGACGAGAATGAGTCGAGGCTCGGCTGGTGACTCGTGGAATGCCGCGCAAGACATTTTGACCACGAGCGGGGTGGTCGTGAGACGCCGCGGGGCGCGAGGCCGCAACTGGTCGCTTGGCGAGGCCTAGGCTGGTGCCCGCCCGCGCGGGCCAACGCGACAACGCACTGGCAACACTGGAGACCGCAAGGGCAGGCCAGACACCACAAGAATGTAGAAATCTGGCCTCGTCCCGATTGCCACCTCCTCTCTACTTCATCCTCCTTCCTCCTCCCTCCTCCGTCCTCTTCCCTCCCGCTCCCCCTCCCCTCCGCAATACGGGCACCCTTCACCATTCTCCACCGACTACGCCCTGGAAGTATCCCGCGCCCTCTCTGCCTTATGCTTGCATAATTGTGGATCGATGTATGTATAAATATACAAATGTGTATATATACACACATAATTATAGGTATTAAAACTATCGCGCGCTTTGCGCTCGCTCAAGATCTAGCTAGGCTCGACAGGCTAACGCATGGTACCTGAATTGTTGAAGTGCCTTGTGCATCGAACGGCCTTCTTGGAATCCCTGCGCATGGAAACGTATAGACGGGAAAATGCGGACACCACACAATCATCAATTTTCTCGAGGTGTTCGACGATTTGGGGCCCTCGAAGGCTTCCTGGGATCTTTCTTCGGTGGTGACAGGGGCCTTAATTATGGCCTGTTGTGCAAAAATTCGCCGGCCCAAAGGACCAGTGCTAAGATCTCCAGCAACAGGCTAACAACATTTTCTAAATCGCGCGCGCGTGGCGGCCCCTTGGGGCCCCCGGGCGGAAAATACCCCAGGCGATGCCCGGCCGACTCCCCCGGGGCGTTCCAGAAGCGCTCTAAGAGGGCGCCGGGACGCCCACTACACGGCCCAAGAGGCACCGAGTCGCCGAAAGATCGCCCGCAGACACCTCCACCCTCCCCCTCCCCCGCCCCCTCGCACTCCCTCGAAGGGAAGGGGGGCGGGCCGGATCCCGCTGTCCCGATGACCCCTGGCCGCTGGTATGGAGGGTAAAGACGGGGGGACTGGCTCAGGGGGGGAACCATCGACCTGGAATTCGCGATGCATCGCCGATGGCTCGGCGATAATTAAGCCCCCGAGAGCGAAAATGCACGTCCCTGGGCGGGGTGAGCCATCAGACCCCCGGGGGTCGATCGGGGGTCGGTGTGCTCCCCCATTGAGAGCCTGCCCCCCTCGGCGCGTGAGGCCGACGGGCGGGGTGAGCCATCAGACCCCCGGGGGTCGATCGGGGGTCGGTGTGCTCCCCCGTTGAGAGCCTGCCCCCCCCCTCCTCCTCCTCCTATTCCTCCTCCTCCTCGTTCCTCCTCCTCCTCCTCCTCCTCCTGCTCCTCCTCCTCCTCCTCCTCCTCCCCCCCCCCCCGACGCTGCCCTCGGCGCGTGAGGCCGACGGGCGGGCCGCCGGCGGGCAGCGGCCCCGGACAGCGGCGGCGCACGGGGCCGAGAGGCGGGCCGCCCGCGGGCAGCCGGCCGCAGGTGCGTGGCGCTCCGCCGCGGCCCCCCGCTTCTGGAGGGGCTCCCGGCCCGCAGCGCCCTCCGAGCGACTTCACTCCTCCTCCTCCTCCTCTCCTCCTCCTCCTCCCTCCTCCTCCTCCTCCTCCTCTCTCTCTCTCTCTCTCCTCTCTCTCTCCTCCTCCTCCTCCTCCTCCTCCTCCTCCAGGGGTCGGGGCCCTCTTCGGGGGGCGAGGGCAGCATCGGTGGCACGCCGCCGTGGGGGGAGCCATCCGCGCATTGCTCCTGCCCTGGCGGCGCAGCACAGGAGGGGGAGCGCGGGGGGGCGGGCCTTCCAGGAAGGCTGGGGAGTTTGCAAGGAGGCAGGGGTCTTTTTAGAAGCCTCCGCATAAGCCTGAAGGCCCTGCTGAGAAGGCCCTTGCCTTCTTAGATGCTCCCCGCTTTCCTTGAAGGCCCCCCCCCCCCCCCTCGCGCCATCCCCCTGTGCGCCACGCTGAAGGAACACAATCCCTTCAGACAAAAGCGAAGGAGAAACATGCTCACAGGTTCCCACGGCGACATGTCATCGATACTAATTTCCCATCCCGACTGTCTGTCGCGGGGCCCAGGCGTGCAGGAAAGGCAGATCTGCACTTTTAGCACTACGCCTTGCCAAGGCCATGCTGGGCCCCACCAAGCCCCCAGGCGGTCCCCGGGAAGGGGTCCAGACCTCTAGGGAGCTAGGGTCTGAACAACAAAGCAACGTCGTCGGATGTCTGGGATGGTGTGCACACGCCTTCCTGGCAGAGGCCAGGAGAGTCCGTGCACCATGCCAAGGCCTGGGATGATCGCGGCTGAGCATGACGGTGGTGGTCTATATCATGTCCTCTGCGGAGCATGGGGCACACGAAAGACTAAGAATTGGGCGAGGGCCGCATGAGCAGAACGACTTTGCGGGCGTCAGCGGGCAATTTCCCCGCCAACGCAGGGTGCCCTCCTTGCACCACCTGTGCGCGAAGCGCGCTTGGGGGCCTGCCGCCAGCAACGAGCCGCCCATGCGGGGGAGGGGGCCCGGCGCTACTGGAGAAACCGTCCACGGACGCCAGGACGCCATCAGGTAGTAGGCGGGGAGTATTCGATACCGTCGACTACTGCATCAGAAAGGCGCTTCTAGAACATTGGGATCTGGGAATACCCCCAGCAAACCTACTTCCAACGAACGGCCTGCACTTGGTCCTCAGAAGCCCCGACGAACTGCCTGCACGTGGTCCCCGAAGAAAAGACCAGAGATTCCCAAAGGCGGGCTATTTATCCTGGCTCGACGCTTAGCGGTGCCAAGGCCGGAAATGAGCGGTCCGAGGAGGCCAGAGACGGCAAACAACGAGTGCGCTTTCTTGTCTTGCTCGAAACGTAGGAGGCCTGGGTACAACAACAGGTATGAGCGGCACGCGAGGTTACCTTGTGGACCTCTTCGCCCAACACAGAGGTGTACACAGGGAGGGGTGAGAGGGGGAAGCTGACGAAGAGCCGCCCCCGCACTGCAGTGCCTCTGCCAGGCCGAGCGATGAGGGAGAGCGGAGCGTCTGGCCTAACCAATCACGGCAGGTTCACGTCGCGAAGATGTGGGCGTCGGTTTCTGACTAAGAAGGGATCGCCTAAAACTTTGAGCGATCGCGGCCTTCCGACAGTGCTGATCGTGCGACGTGGGCGGATGCAGGGCTGCGCTGGCGGCTACTAGAAGAACAAAATCTGCACAACTAGAAAAACCTTCGGAGATCTGTGCGGACGTCTGGGGTCGGCGACGGACCCCTTCCCCCGGAAGATCCCCTGACGCACGGACAGCACGTGCGGGGAAATGGGCCCCGCGCCGACCCAAGACATCCGCCCGGCCTCCCCGAAGATAAACGATCGTGCCGACAACTGTTCTTCATGTTTGAGCGTCCGCGCTGGGGGTCGCCGCGTCGACGCGGCGCGAGCCCGCCGTGGAGGCCGAAGATCGCCGCAGGGCCTCTCAGGGAGGCTCCCTCGGCGTCCGCCTCGCTCCTCCCCGCGAGCAGGGCCGCGGGCGTGGCCATCACGCCCCCAGGACGCCTCGGAGACCCTCTCGCTCGCTGCGCTGACCCAGGTCCCTCCTCCTCCTCCTCCTCCTCCTCCTCCTCCTCCTCCTCCTCCTCCCTCTCCTCCTCCTCCTTGAGGAACGGGGATCGGAGATCGAGGAGCAACTTCTGGCCGTTTTGAGGCCCTCTTTGGGTCTTCAGGGGGCGCCCTCGCGGACACGGCTGGATGCAACTCGAGAATCTGCCCAGGGCAGAATCCGGGCGGGGTCTGGGGACTATGTTTGATCGAACTTTGTTCAGAGTTAGGGCGAGCAGGCAGGCCTTCTAAGAAAACAGCGCGCCTCTTCGAAACCCTCAAGCTCAATGAAAAACCTGTAAGAGAAGCGCAGCTGTCCACTGACCCTGGGCAGCCTTATTAGGTCACCAGACTTTTCGCACTCTCGCGCCGGCCACCCCCATGCAGAAGGGCGACTCCGCGGGGCCACGACGAGCGGTTATCTTCTTGCCCCTGCAGGCCACGTCGTCAAGGCAAGAACCTGCCGTACATATCAGTTACCTGGGGGAGGCCCAAGCGACATAGGCATGGCAGGTCCCTGCCTTGACGACGTGGGCTCTGGTTCGTGACACAGGGCGGGCCGCACAACCTTGCACGACCTCTCCGCCCTCGGAGGTTCCCAGAGCCTGCAGGTACAAACTTTCGCATGCACTTCGCGCCGTGGATTCGTCTCTGTGGACCCAAAAGCCTGAAACTCGCTCTTACGAGGTGTTCAGCTCAGAACGTCCGTGCTGGCGCCGCCGCCTCGTCGAGGCGGAACGAACCTGCCGTGACTCGAAACGACAGGAACATCCAAACGAGTCAGTTGTTGGCTTTGCGCGCAAAGGAATGCCGATAATAAAGCGGCCTTCATAGAAACCGTAAACGTTCCTGGGGAATCCCTGCCTTCTTCAAAGATCGCCCCCCTCGCGCCGTCCTCCTGCGCGCGTTGCAAACGTCCGCGGTCCAGATTTACGCACGTCCACCCGGCTCCCCAGGCGGTGGACACCACCGCCTGGGGAACCGACATCCCCAAGCGACCCAGTGACACAGGCTCCCCGGCTGGTGGCTGTGCATGAAATCCCCGCCTCGCTCGTGCTCGTGTTTCACGACGGAGGGAAGTCAGGGGTCAGGGTCCTTGGGTCAGAAGTTGACGCGCTCAGCCGTAGCGACGAGACGCCCCCCAGAGGCGCAGACATGGTGAGACACTTACCGAAAACCTCGGACTCTCGAGGCTCGGAGGTGGATCAGCTCGAAAACCGGCCTGCGCCCGCGCCAACCTCCGTGGCCCCGCCGTCGCCGGCTGGCCCGGCGGGCGCGAGGGCCGCGACGGCCAGCAGCATCAGCGCCGGCCAGCGCGCTCCGACAGCCACGGCCCCCGACCTGTACGGTTCGAGGGTCTGCAGCTCCACCTTCAGCTCCCTGGGCTGCCTGTCGTCGGAGGGGGGGCCAAGCGAGACGACGGCGGCCATCCCCGGCGACGTTCGGCCTCTTTGGGGCCTCCTGGAGGCTTCTCGCCGAGGCTTCTCGCTCCAAGCCGCGGCTGGACCCGCCTCGCGGATGGAGCCCTGGGGACAGTTGAGCGGACTTGGACCCGGCGGAGGAGCCCCCATCGTCTCAAATGGCCCTCGTCCGACTGTCGGCACGCGCGCGAAGAGACCGACTAGGAAAAGAGGGATCCCTGCACGACAGGGCGCAGGGCCCTTGCGCGGAAGGCTCACGCGGACTGGTGTAGCGCGGCACCACGCGTGGAGGAGGGCGCTCACGCGCGACCTCACGCCGGCAGCTTGCGCGCACATGTCGGCGCATTCGTACCCGTGTTTCTAAGTCGTCCCAACGGGGGCATCACACACGGGGGCGGTGCCAAATGACGAGCGTCCAAAATCGATGGCGGCTGCTGTGGGCGATCGTCGCCCGCCACCCCGCCACCACAGGTGGCTGGGGCTCGCTTTGGAGCCGTCGGAGTATACTGTTCAGTTCAGAAAGAGCAGAAACTGCCGTCGGTGCCAGAATCGCCTCCCATTCGTGCCGCCCCCGTTTCGAGCGTCTGGAGCCTCAGCTGGTCGGCCAGCTTCAGGGAGCTGCCACGGACGCCGTTCACGGCCACGATGAGGTCTCCACCCTTCACCCTGTGGTCGGGATTGTTCTCGTTCCACTTCCCGAACAGGCCCCCCGTCACCCCGTCGACGACAATCCCCTCGTCGACCATGGTGAACGCCAAGCCGAGTATCTCCTTGTTCGAATGGTCCAGCGTCACGGTGAAGGTCGCGTCTGACGGCAGCGTGTCCTCCTCGCCTGTCGACTCCTGCGTGTTAAGCGAATGTGGGCGGCCATCATCCACCACCGTGTCCTTGGCCTTGCTGGCTTCGGGCGTGGTCGTGGCCCTGGTGGTGGAACGGTCCGCGCCCGACGAGGTGCTCTTCGACGAGGTGCTCTTCGATTCCGCACCGCTGCCCTTCTCGTTTGCGGCGGAGCTTTTGGTAGCCACTCCGTCGGCGTCAAGGGCCTGAGCACCGAAGGTCCCGACTTCGACAGGGCCGTCCTCGTAAACAGGCCACTCGTCGAGACTGGCCTCCAGCTCTCCCTCGTAGTAGCCGTCGGTGTCGCAAGGCGGCCCTGGAAGGTCGTCGCACTTCGGCATGTCTGGATATTTTTCGTCGAACAAGCGCTTGACCGACTCAACACGCTCCCTGCACTTGTCCTCATCCTTCTTGCCTTCCCAGAAGCTGTTGTGCACGCCCGTGTCCCGCCTCTCACTGTACTCGATGCCCCCATCCTCGAAGAACTGGGCGTAGTCGCTGATGCCAGTGACCACGTCTAAGCCGACCTCGCCGGCGTCCTCGACGCTATATGTGCAATCCCGGTCGCCGGTGACTGCGTCGCAGAGGCCGCCAGGGAGGTCCCTCTTGCACTCCTCCGTTTTCTCCTGGATATTGTGATTGGGGCACGGCCCTGGCAGCGAGTACCTGGTGGAGCAAAGAGATACCGACCGATACCGATACCGCCACTCCGCAGACTGCTCCCAGGGAGCGTTCTGACCAAGTTTCCCAGGCGGATCCCGTCGCGGCGGCGAGGGCCCCCCAGGAGGCCCAGCAAGACGCAGACGGGGCAAAAGGAATGTGTAGCAATATGTTACACTCTCGCCGGAATACCACACTGGGGGGTGGCACTCGTGACCCGTACAACCCTCGCCTATGAACGTCTTGGTGTCGGACGCGTAAGCGGCCCGCAACCTCTCCGTGTCCACGTGCTGGCAGCCAGGAAGTGCGCCGAAGCGCTTCCAGATCTGGTCGCAGCCTGGCACAGTGCAGTGTCCAGAGTCAAAGGCCACGAAGGAGCCGAACTGGCGCCTGTCGGGCAGGCTGGGGGAGGCTCCTCAGAACGAGCTTCCATGGCCCAAGGTTTGATCGGCGACCGCCCTGTGGTTGAAGGCGGCCCCATCGCCGACTCTGAGCGGCCAGGGAGGCCGCATTCTCTTTCGGAGAGGCCCCACCAAAACCCCCATTCAGCTCCAGTCAGGGCAAGCAGCAGTCTCAGGCTTCCCCGAGCCTGTGGGAGTTGTAATACGCCCAAGTGGTCTTCACCTTGACCCTGAACCTCCTGATCCTCGTGACGGAATACTTCCTGGACTTCCCCACAGCAACGACGATCTCGTTGTGCAAGTACCTCGGGCAGGGGCATCAATAAATCTGATCTGAGCCGTTTGGATCTTAGCTCAAGCGCGTACGCCTGAAACAAACGTTGAGGCAAGGTCACATTTTCGGCAAAAACAACCGATCCTACCAGCGCCCTGACCCCAAATGGTGCCACATCACGCCGGCTAAGTCCCCAGTGTCCACGTTCTCCAGCGGGTAGTCCTCGTCGCCCTGGGCGCGGAACATGTAAAACTCCAACTCCTGCCGCTCCGCGTACGGCCCTGGCACGGGCAAGTCCAGCGCGGACCCGGGCACTCCCTGGCGGGCTGGGAACACTACTTCGAGATTGGCTGGAGAAGCTTCTCCTGGGCCGCTCAGAATGCTGGACCGCAGGGAAGCCGATTAGATTAGAGGGCATGGGGGGGCGAAGCGAGGCCCTCCATCATATAAACCCACCAGCCCTTTGGGCAGAAAGTATATCACATGTCTGTTCTTCCCTCTTCCTAACCCCGTCTTCCCCTAATCGGGGATGGAGTCACCCTGCTCCATGTTATAAACACCCCCTCCCCTGCCCGACCAGCGAACAAAGAAGGATAATGCCAACACCCCCCCCCCCACCATCATTGTCAAAAACAATTCACATGCAATGTTCAATATTTTCTGAACCATGTTCGGGCGACCCGCGATGACTTTATCTTGTTCTTGACAGGACGGCGGGGGAATTCATATTGCCAGGTGTGTGCGTGTGCAGGTCCACCATCCATGTCAAAAACGAATACAAAGCGCATGTGGCGACAAAGTCGTGGACCATGCGTTGGCGCCCAACGATCAGTTTGCACAGTTATTTGAAATGTGTGATGGGGATACCCTGGCACGCGCGGCGCACCTCGCAGGCGTGGCGAACCTGGCTGCCCCTTGCATTGGTTGCTGGTGATTCTCGTTGGCTGCCCCTGCCCATGCTGAGACTCGGGTGCTACTTATGTGTTGGGAGGGCCGGTGTCGCGGCCAGGGCCGCCAGACTAGGCTTCCGTGGCGCAACCCAGGGCTGGGCTGCCGGTTTCACCCACTCCCCCCCTCCTTCTCCTCCTCCCCTCCCCCTGTCATCCTCGCGTTTTCGCCACGGGGCTTGCTTGCGCTTGTTTAAAGAAATTTGGGAAGGCGGGTGGGAATAAGCGAGACGACCGTCCTTCAGCAGGGGCTCTCATCCCCTGGGTCTGGACGGCGGGGCGGGGCCGATATGGCAGACGGCCAGTTGTGTTCAGGATGGCCCCCCCAGGCGGCTCGTGATGCGCCAAGATGGCCTCCAAGATGGCTCAAGATAGCCCAACATGGTCCATGATAGCTTTCGACATGCCTCCGAGGGGTCCCAAGAGGGCCGCAAGACGGCTCGACGTGCCACCGAGGCCTCCTAAGAACCAACCAGCGAGGCCCAAAGCGTTCCGAAACCCAAGTGGAATCAATGGTTGTTGTCTTCTCCTCCTCCTCCTCCTCCTCCTCCTCCCCTCCTCCTCCAAGATGGTTCCAGGAGGCTTCTACAAAGCTACTACGACAATTCGCCTGGGCATGCTCTGCGTCGTGGGCTCCTGCGTCGTCGGCAGAATTCTAGTTTCCATAAATTATGCTGGGCGGCTGTTCCGACTGCTGCACAGCATGATGATGTAATAGACTTTCTTTTTCTGGGCACAAAGCGCGTGGCAGAAAAGATGCCTTGATGGCTTCTAACGTGTGGCCTCCGCGATGCTCCTACCACCATCGTGCTGCCATTGGGCACGCTGAAAAAGAAACGAGCAGGCTTTTTCTGACCACGGCGAGGCTCGGCCACGAAGGTCCCTTGGAATGATCGTGAAGAGCGACCTGAAAACCAAGACACCTACTAAGCCCGAAGTGCTCCATGTTTCAGCGTCTGGACTGTAAGACAACTCATCTGGTCATCGTTTATGGATGCAATGGACTTTCTGATGTATGGGCGCATCCGCGGGCGGTCGGGTGTGGCATTTAAGACGAAGCGGCTGCCTCGATCAGGGCAGCTCGCCTGTGCAGTGTTTCCAAAAGTCTGGATCGCTGCTCGCTGCTCGTGCCCCGGATTCCGCTCCTGGCCCTGTACCATGATCCGCCCCCATCCCTGCACTCCCCCTCGTCCTCCCCCCCATCCCCCTCTCCAGTCTGGAGCCCTCCAAGGCCACCGAGAGTGAATCAAATCACATGCCACCAAGAGCTCACCCCGACAGGGCCATTTGAGCCCCTGCCTTTATGCAGCAGTCGCCTCTCCTCCCATTTCCTCTCCTTCCTCCTCGTCCCACTGCCGTCTCGAGCCCACAAATGGCACCGAGAGGGAAACAACCACGATAAGAGAGCACGGATACCCCACATAACCACCGTAGAGGCCTCAATATCACCAAACACCATCGCTACACTTCCCTGGTCAGAACAACTCCCCTGAAAAGCGTTGCTGGATGTGCTGGTGGAGATACGCGAAACGTGAAGAACACCACCAACCCAGTGTGCGTAGGTGGTCTAGGGAGGCTCCTCTTCCAACCTCCTTTTCCCTCTTCAGGGATGGGTTTACCACTGTTCCCTATCAATATACACCCCCTCCCCCTGGCGACCTGCGGCCAACCAGGAACCATGCGCCTCCCCCACCACCAGCCCTGTCAAAAAACAACGCCGCACTCTCCCTCCAAATTTGGAGCATGCGCGGCCAACCCGATGCGCCCCCCCCGTCAGAAAACAGTACGCAGTACACTTTGGAGCAAAGTCTTGAATCATGTTCGTTGTTTTGTGTTCCTCCGCAACCCCAGAGGGCAGGACCAAGCAGACCTTCGTGCACGACAAAGGCCCAGCCAATAGGAAACACTCGCCAACTGGGGCAAACAACTGAACTCGCACGACGGGAAGCTGCATCGAGCAGCGCCTCATCGAGAATATTCGTTGACTGAATGGCCAGCTTGCCCGTGCCGCATAACGAAGCGAACGCGGATAATTGATCTACACCGCAAGCACAATCGATCTACACCGCAAGCAAACTTGGACATCGGACCACGGTCCGAAACAACCCGCCTGACTGACTTTAAGTAGCCTCCGAATCAGTGGCGCTCAAGCGCCAGCGACACGTCCAGCTTCCCCCCCATGGCCTGAGGGGGGCTCGAGGTGGCTTTGAAGGAGAATGCTGGAAGCTCCTCCTCCTCCTCCTCCAGTATTCCTCAATATTAGTCCTCAACTTCCGCCTCGGGGCCCAGTGGCGAAGATCGTTCGCCCAGAGCAAAACAAATCAGAGTATACACATTCAACGTTCGCGAAATAAAGCAACGTCTTGAATCATGTCCGTGAAGCCCGCGAACACTTTGTATTGTTTATGACAGTAACGGCAGGGGTGTCAGCATATTGCCTACTGTGCGCAGGGCTACCATCCCTGACGCAGAACAGTACAACATGCACCTCGCGGCTAAATCTGGATCGTGCGCGGCCACCCCGTGATCACTGTCAAGTGGTTTTGGCAGGGACGGCGGGAGTGGAGGCGTATGGCCTGCTGTGCGCAGGCCCACCAGACATTGCTTTTGGACAAGGATGGTGAAACCCGGCATGTTTCCCGATGTGTGCTGTCACGTGCGCAGGCGCACCTGAGACACTCTGTACGTGCCCCGAACGTGGCGCACCTGGCGCGGCTGGAGTATGCGACACACCCGGCGCACGTGTAGCACGTGGCGCATCTGGCGCACCAGGCGTGCCTGGCACGCTCGGGCCCCAAGGGTGCCATGCGCGCGTGGCGCGCCTGGCACGCGTGGCGCACCCAGCGTCGCGCACATGGGGTCGATGTTTTAGTTCCCAATAGCTGTCCATGCACAGACGACCACTGAGCATGCTGAGGTTCGGGTGTTACATCTGTGTTTGGGCGGCGGGTGGGAATGACCTAGACGGTTTGCTATTTAGGGGGTGCCTTGATCACTGTTCCGTATTAGTATACGCTCTCTCCCCCGCCCAGTCAGCGGCCGACCCGGAGACATGACGCCTCCACGAGGGCCACCCTCCCACCAACCTGCCGCACCTGGCGCGCCTGGCACGCTTAGGCCTCCAGGGTCTGGCGCACTGGGACGAACGCGGCCGGGGCGCGCCCTGGGAGGAGGCTGGAGCTGGGCGACCACTGCGAGCCGATTGCTCGCCCGACGCGCATCCGCCGGCGGCCAGCGCAGGCGCTGAGCGCTGGCTTCGCGAGCCAAGTCTGGCAGCCTCGCCCGTCGCAGCAGGCCCTGCGGCGACGCTGAGTTCACCTGGTCGTGGGCCTTGCAACAGTCGGGCGCTGCTCCGGAGAAAGGCTCGGACATTGCCTCCGCCGCTTCGCGAAATATTTGGGGGCGAGCTCCCAGGCCAGCTCTTCAGCTCCCAGATGGACGTCCGCCCCGGACCAGCTCAGCCCGCCAGCGCGCGAAGTCGCGGGCCCGCCCCGCCGCCCACGGGCGACGCAAGATCGGCGGCAGCCGGATGGGCGGCCTGTCCAGGGAGGGGCCCCGCCCCCCGGTGGGGCCCGGCAAGGAGCCTCTTCGGCTCCGCCAATTTGCTCGGCCACTCGCCGACGGAATCCGCTGCCTCGACGAAATCGGCCACCCAGCCCAGCAGCTCCTCAGGCTAACGGCTGGCCGAAACCTGGCGCGAGCCCAGACGACGCCGCCCCCGCAATCGCCTCTGGGACCCGCGCTCTAGCTCCGAAGTTGCCGAGGTTGGCGACCCCGACGCGCCGCTGGTCGTTGCGGTAGACGTTCGCTCCCCAGCGCGGGCGCCGCCCCCCTTCCAGGGGCTCGCGTCGCTGACCCGCCCCCGAGATCCTCTGGGCTGGCCTCGGGCGCGCATCTGCTTCGGAGGGGCTGGGTCTGGGCGGGTGCCGAGATCCAAAAGGCAAGCGCCTGCATGGGGGGGTGCGCGGCGCATCTGCGCCCAACAATGACTGGGTTACGAGGTGCCGACGCGAACGCCCCGCTGGCGGGCATGGGCGACGCAGCCAACCAAGAGCGGACTAGCTCGGCTGAGGTTCTCCTGTCGTGCGCCGATTCCGACGGATGCCTTTACTGCTGCCGAGATTGCGCCCATGCCCTGCTGGTCGCCCTGGCACGCTGGCACGTCAACGCCGTCGCCAATGGGAGTAGCCGTGCCAGACGCCGGAGTCAGGGCCGCCGCTGCCCGCGCCGCCGCCGACGCCGGTGCCCCCTGGGGCGCCGGCAGCCCTGAGGGAGGAGCCGCTGCCGCCTTCGTCATCACGCCTGCGGCGCTTGGCCGCCATGCGCTTGCGCAGCTCCACTGCCTCCTTGCAGAGCTGAGCTTTTTGACGTTCTCCACGCTGGGCTCGATCGCCGCCAGCACCGCTGACTGGATCTCCTTCGCAATTGCAGCTTCGAAGGCGAACTGCATATTCTTTTCGGCGTGGTCGGCCTCGAGTATGTCGAAAGTAATGCCGTCGCCATCAATGATCTCCACGACGTTGGCCCCGTCGCCGTCCAAGAGCTCAGGTAGGTTGATTTGAAGCCCCGCCGCCCGCTGCCTCAATGCAGGCGGAATCGCTGTGGCTCGTTGGAGTCGACCTTCTGGCCAGCTGTAGCTTGAGCACCAACTTTTACTGCCAGGCCACCTTCGCATCGCAGGCTTGGGCCAAGGCTGTGGCTGTGGCCCCTTTACATTATGTGTGCCATGCTTCCGATTCTGATTCACATGCGACCATCGCCTCGAAATTGGCCTGTGTGCGTCGGCAGGCCACCCCCTTGGACAAAATGGTCGTTTCGAGGAATTGTTTCGTGGGCGGGCCCATCGCCGCCGCAGCCGTGGGACCAAGCGTACCCTCGGGTGCCCTGAACCTCTCTGGGCCCACGCCTGCTGGGCCGAGTCGTTCCCAACTGTCCCAAGCGGTCATCCGTAAACTTGCCCTTTTCCGCCCGCTGGGGCGGTGAGGACTTGCGCGGAGGCGCCACCGCAGGCGGAGGACCTCCCCGCAGTCACTTGCATGAGGGTGTCACGGGCGACTGGGCTGCATGCTGCGAGCCGTGATCACGCTGTGCCCAGACTCTGCGCGCGTCCCGCCAGGCCTCCAGCGTTACGCTGAAGAAGCTGTGCCATGCCCACCTAGCGAAACAGGTGGGCCGTGTGTCCCCTTGCAAAACGCTCGCTTCCCGAGCCCCCTGCTACGGACGTGAGCCACAATGGCTACGGACGAGGAGGAGGAGAAGTGGGGGGAGGAGGAGGAGAGGGGGTCGGTTTTCTAGCCATAACTCGGGCCTCTGGCGGACAACTTCGGAACGTATCTCGAGGACGGGGGGGAGGAAGAAGGAGGAGGAGGGGGGGGTAAGGAGGAGGGCGACCCTTTTGCAGTCTTCGTCGGCGGAGCTTGGGGGCTGCTCGATGTGGCGGGTCTCGCGAATTTGCCCGCCGACGCAGCTGCCCTTCTTTGTCGGATCTGGCACGGGCCAGCTGCACAGCCCTCATCGAGCCATCGAGCGAGCGAGGAGGGGCAGCCATGGGGCTGCGGGTATGCGTGTCGGCACGGGGGAAGCGAGTCCTGGTGCAGGCGGGCCCTGCACCCCGGGGCTCTCTCCAGAACCTATTTTCATCCAGAGCGAGGAACCGTGGGGGACCTCGTGGTGGTGTGGTCCCAGAACCCTCCTGCTCGAGACGACCCCTATCCCCAGCTCGTGGAGGCATCGTGGACCTCCTCGCTGGAGGTGGCACCCCTGGTGGTGGTGGTGGTGGTGGTGGTGGTGGTGGTGGTGGTGGTGGTGGTGGTGGTGGTGCTTTCATTCCTTTTCCCGACCGAGCCGATATTTGAAGTTCCCAGGGACTGGGAGGGGCCCCACGCCGAGAGGCCGAAAACTGCACAAGACCTCAGGACCCTCTCTTTCCCTCAGGCCGCCTTCCCTTCGTGAAGATCTTGGGTTCGGGCGCTCTGACTAGAACTCCGAGAATAGGGATCCTTCCGTGGCGACGCTGGCGCCTCCAGAGGCCCAAGAGGGGACAACATCTTCCAAAACATAGATCTTCGAGCCACGATTGTAACATCTTCGCGCCACGCAGATTCCCGTGCTCAGGCCTTATGCCGCTTCGCAGCCGCCGGGTCCTTGCACGGCGCCGCGCAATGGGACTTCTGGTCCTCCGGCTTGTCTGGGTCGTCCTTGGCAAGCTTGGCCTGGACCTCCTCGAAGCGGGCCTCCTTGTCCAGACCTCCCGGGGTGGACGAAGGGTGGGGGGGGCAGAGAAGGGGGGCTCAGCGAACTAGCTGTGTGCAGTTGCATGCTTGGCGCCTCTCGGCGGCGGGAGCGACCATGCATCTGGCGGGCCGAAACCAGCGGGCCCTGAGCGGCGAGGGAAGAGAGGTTCTATGCACGACCGCTCGGCGACCCGAGGCGGCCGCGCATGCGGGCCGCCAGCGCGGGGCACCGCTTGGAGAAGGGGCCGGTCATACGCCGCACTAGATGCGCGAGCGGCTCAAAAACAGAAATCCCGCGCCCCGACGTGTACAATGCTCGGACCACGGAGCTCTCTCGGCCCCTTCTACGCGGACAACTTTTTCGCCTCGGAATACTTATGCTTACGGTCCTTGAGCCCGAGAACAACCTCCGGTTGCCAAAACTGCTGCGACAAATCTCCATCTCGACGTGTCCGAGGCGCTTCGAGGCCAAGAGCGGGGGCGGCTTTCTCTGTGCATGCGTAAACAAAGTCGTACCGGCGTAGCGGTGAGGGCGCGAATGCGGGAACAGGCATGAGGGATCGGCGACCCGATGAGGTACGGTGCACCCAGACCTCCGACATCGTACCTGGAGCACTCGGCCCCGTCCCAGAAGAAGCGTCCGAAGGATAGTTTTGATTAGTGATTAATGTGATCTCCTGGGGCCTCCTGAACTGCTCTCGTGGGGATGGCTGGACGCAGCTGGCAAAACTGTCCGGGATGGAGCGATGATTCTACCCCATGTCGTGATCAGTGTTTCATCCCATCTCGTTAGTTGATGGTCCCCAGAGGCTGAAGTTGATGACACCGCTGGGGTTGAAAAACAACACAACGCCAGAGGTCAGGGCATTCACCTCTGGCTCGACCTTCGAACCACTCAGGGTGCTCGTAGATGCCCGTCTGCAGCACCCATGCCACCGCGTCGTAGCAAGGGGACGCCAGTTCCGGGTCCTCTTTGGGAGACCTGCAACGCCCGCCAATCAGACCATGCTTCTCCCCACCTCTCCTGCCCTCCCCCCTTCCACTTCTAAAACAAAAAACGTCTGCATCAAGATAAACTGTCGGAGGCCTGTGCGGAGTTTTTGGATCGGTGCCTTCAGCGCCGATCCAAGACATCCGAGCGGACCTCCGAGCGTTGATGTCCATGCAAATGTTTGTTCTTCGGACTTCCACCTCATCTCCCTCCGCAGACCTAATTACAAACGACTCGGAACACTGGCGCTTCTGGGCCTCTGGAGGCAGATCCCGGCGGCGCCTGAGACCGTCAAGAAAGCGACCATCGGTCGGCATGGATTAGCTGGACGCAGGCACAGGGTCGAGAGCTGCAGGGAACTCGCAGACTGGAGTCGTCGAAAGTCATGATTCATTGTTTGGCCCGGCGCAAGCAGCCTAATGAAGGTAGAATCGATGTGGGGCGCTTCGAAGCTTAGTCGAGCGCTACGGTCAACGTTCGGCTAAACATGAGATCGTATTCGGAATGGAGAGTTTGAGTCCTCTTTTGTGCTCATGTGCACTAAGAACGCCCAGGGAAGATCCATCGAAGGTCCTGAGGGCCCCCCCGAACGGGAACCCCTCTCAAGATCGTGGTTGCATGGCTTGGGTGTGGGTCCTCCACACCAATACACATACTGTCCCTGCACTGCGAGGAAACGAATATCGAAAACGAAAATGAACGCAGGCGAGAAAGTTACAAGTTACGAACGCGAAAACGAATGCCCGCTGGAAAACTACCGGATTCAGAGACCCAACGCACGCGCCCGCCGCCGGCCCGCGTGCCCACCCCCTCCCGCCCCACATCCCCCCCACCACCCCTCGCACCCTCGCGTTCGCCCCCTGACGACCGCGGGCCCGCACGTCCGCCCCCGCCGCATCACCGCGCGCCCGCGCCCGCAAGCCCGCGCCTGCGACCGCGCAACGGCCGCTGATTCACTTACACAATGCCTGCCTCGCTCATATAGGCTACGAGGGGGGGACGAGGGCAAATCGGCTCAAGATCGGTCCCTGGACCCCGGCGTGGAGAAGTGCGGCGTCGCGAGAAGGTTACGGCCCGTGGCTGTCGACACCCATCTTCCTGTCTCGACCCAGGCTGGTCCTCGAGGGGCCCGCAAGGTGGCAGAAGCGCCCGCGCCGTGAGCTCTTCGTGGAAACCCAAGTTGGCCGCGTGGTACCCACGCCCCCGACGCCATGAGTTCTGCCAGTGCACAGAACTCTCGACCCCTGTGATAGGGGATTTATTCTCCGTCTCAGATCGCTCTTTTGACGGTCCTCTGAGCCCTAAAGTGGTCCGCGGAGGCTGGGAAATGTGAAACACGTTCGTGTTGACTCTTTTTACCAGACGTTGGAGGTCTGTGTCCTCAGCGGCTTTGTGACGATCCAAGAGCCCCGGGGCCAAATCGCGAAAGACCTCGGCCTTGGATTTTTCGGGGCGCTGGCCAGGGCAAATGAAAAGGAGAATTAGTGAAGGGGGGCTGGCGAGTCAGCTGCGTGCAGCTGTTTTCCTTGGCGCCTCTTGGCGCTGGAGGTGACCACATGTCCAGAAAAGTGGATGACAGCGGGAACGACACCAATTGCATGAGATTTCGTAACCCAAACATCCAACGTCGCCATTGTTTCGCAACTTGACCTCCCAAAGGTCTGAACCCCCTCCATGGGGTCGGCTTCTCACCCACTGTCCGGCTTCAGATCGACGTCTGACGACCCAAGGACATGTCCAAGGCCCCCATGAGGCCGAGAATGGCCAAAAACCTTTTGTCGTTTTTTGCACGACTCGAGACCACGCCCATTCCCCTATCCGCCCAATGCCCCCATCCTGCTCTCTCATGGTCCGAGGCCGTCCACGGCGACAATACAACGGAAAACCAACCGACCGATAGAGAAACCGAAACCGACAGGCTGCAAATAGCATCGAAGGACGCAGCGAGGCAACAACGACACAACAGCTGCCAGAACCGAACTGACCGAACTCAACATACTGCGCAGCCAACTCGATCGAACCATGGACACCCTTGTAATCCCTCCCCTCCCCTCCCCCACACTTGCTCAATGTGGAAACTACTACTCTCTTCTCTTCTCGCACATTGTGCGAGCGGGAGCCACCTCTCCCGCACTCTGCTTGCTTGCGCATGCAATTTCAAGATGTGTACTGTCGTATTGGTGTTTCGACCCATTCGTTATCTATTGGAGGGGTCTAGTGCTCCAGAATTTCGCTCCCGCTGCAGCCTTGGACTCATTTCAGGATCGGCGCCTTGCTCCCGTCGCTCCGAACGGCGCTCTCGCCCCAGCGGGGGAAGCTCTTCTGGGTCTGATTCCTTCCTCGTCGTTGTCGCCCCCTCCTCTCCCCTCCTCCGCCACCCCCTTCTCCTCCTGCCCCTCCCGGTCCTCCTGCCTATATTCTGCCACTGTTGTGTTCCTCCGCCCCCTCCTCCTCCTCATCATCCTGCTCATCCGCCGCCACACCCTATCCCCCATCATTATCCACTGTACGCAGCTCGAATATGATTGCGCATAGCGCGATGAGGTCACTTTGGGCATCCTGGCAGCTAGTACGCCTGTCGGCGGATAGACAAGAATCAGCGCCATGGGAGGGATGGGTGGGAAGGGTAGGATGTCAGACATGGCGCGCGCACGGAGCTTGTCCCTCGCTCTCTCCCTTCTCCCGCCGTCCTTCCTCCTCCGTTCCTCCTCACTCCCCCCCATCCTGCCCCCTCCCCCGACCCAACCCGCTTCGACCGATCTGAACTGGAAGCCATGGAATGTCCGGCGGGGGACGCCCGTTCCTCGCATCCGTCGCCGTCCAGACCAACCACCGCGGCCGCCTCGAGGTGCAGAGCGGGCCTCAGGGGGATGACGGGAAAAAGAAGCGCCCGCCACCCCAAGATGGCCTCCAAGACCGCCAGGAGGCCCCCAAGAGGCCCCCAGGAGGCCCCCAAGAAGCCCCGAACAGGCCGCACAAGAGAACGCAAGAGACGTCGAAGAGGCCTCTGGTCCACATCCCAGGCACGGTGGTTTTTCACCACAAGATACAACGAAACCGAAACTGAGCCTCTGGGTCGGGGTTGCTGGAATTTGAATAGCAACTCCTGGGAGTCTTTCGTGGAAACAGTTGGAACCTGTTTGGCCAAGAAGGGGTATGTTGTGTCCCTACTCGGAGGAAGGGACAGATTCTGATAATGGACGATGTGGATACGCACGTGCTTGTTGCCCTGGGGACTTGGACTAACTTGTTGACAATGCCAACTGTGTTGGAGGCAATTCGCGCGCGATCCTGCCTGGTTTCGTTGGCACCGATTGTGCCACCGGGTCCGGGGCTCGGGGAAGTCACGCCCCCGCGGGGCCGAGTTCCTGTTGGTCGTCAGCGCGTTGCTGCATCAAGCAGAAAACGTCGCGGGGGGTCTCTCTGTCCTGCGGTGCCGCGTGCCTGCTGTTTGTTGGCAACGCGCCTCTTCGGGCGCAAGGCGTCTCAAATCGACAATGGAAACCTGCTGTAAAGCGGGACGGGATCCTGCCGTTGCACGGCATGGCGGCGGGCTGGCGCAAAGCCATCGTTTCCCCACCTGCCCGCACACGCCCTCATTGTGCAAGGTTGTGCGCGAAGACGCGGAGAGCGTATCACCTTCGGCCTGTGCGCGGCTGCCACTTCAGCTGTCACCGCTTCCCACAGCAGAAAGGCCGCAAGTTTTCGACCGCGGCTAAACCAGCACCGTTGCTGAATTCAACCTCCCAGGAGTTTCATCCCAGTGAAAGCAACAAGTATGTACCTGGTCTGCGGTGTCTCCAGCTCTTTGCGCCATTTTGTACCCCCTGGGCGTCAGGCATCGTGAGGAATACTCTGGAGATACTCTGGGCCCCCCAAGAAACCCTGGGGATACAAAGGGTCAGGAACACGCTTGGCAACACCCGCGTGAGGGTGCGACCACACTTCTTAACCGGGGCTGACGGGATCGAGTGCCAATGTGAAGAAGGCTGCCACGCGCGCCTATTTCCCCAATCCGCGCTTGCAATAAAAGGGTCCTAGCGGATACTGAACAATTTGGCGAAACAAACTGGCCATTTCGGTGGGCGGTCGGCTCCCTGGGTTCCCGGTTCCAGGCTCCTCGGTTCCCGGTTGCTGGTTCTGGGCCGATTTTGGTGGGCGGCGGGGTCCCCGGATCTCCGGGTTCCGAGGTTCATGGTCGATCTCTTTATCGATCGGTCTCACCATCGATCTCAGTACCCACCTCTCTATCGATCTCACTACCGATCCCGCATCCGATATCACACTCCATCTCTCTATAGATCGCACGAGCAATCTCACGATCGATCTCACTGACTCGATTTACTACTTGTCTCACGATCGACCTTACCATCGTCCTCACTATCGAGCACATGGTCGATCTCACGATCGATCTCACAGTCGATCGCAATATTCACACCACGAATGTTCAATGCATCCACTGATGGGTGTTTTTGCTGGCGTACTGTTTCTTAACTGTTCTAAACGACAAAACATCGCTGGTGGGTCACCGATGCCGTTGCTCACCGCACGTCCCACGGGGCACGTGCCGACCAAGACTCCAAGCCAACTTCTCGAGGCAAGCTACAATCTCGACCAGGTGATGGCCATTCACCCGGCTGCTGCGCCAGCGCCCCAAAAACTCTCATTCAAATAGGGTTGTTTGGGCGACGAAGACGTCCCGCGTGCTCTCCAAAAGCCCAACGGGGCGAGATCGAGGGAGGAGGGCATCGGAATCGAAGTGTCCATTGCGTAACAAAGGAAAAAACGTCCTGGTGGATACGGGTCCCGGAACCCAGCGTTTTCCCCCTGACCGCTCTTTGGCCCCAAGTGAAATTGGACGGCGCTGGGGCCTCCAAGGACCTCGAAACCAGCGGGAAATGTCTAGGGCCCTTCTGCTCCAGGACCCCGCTCTTGATGTTGAAATCGATTCACGTACATCCAGCGCTTATCCCGCCGGCCCGTCTTCCTTTCCTCTTCCAAAGCCCTCTTCCATTCGGGGAGGGCTACCCAGATTTACCCCACATCATGAACGTGATGGTGTGGGTCTGGCCCCAACCCACCGCAGCCCGTTCCTCCTCCGCGAGTCCGGATTCTGTCGGGGCTGGGAGCGGGCGTTGGCGACGGACCACCCTCCGAGCCCTCTCCTCCGACCTAACATAATATTGTTCCCCTGATGTGCACCGCCAGGGATCTCGACCCCCTCCCCGGGCCAACTTTCATCCTGTGAAGGGTTTTCGCTGACCCCGAAACCAGGAACCGGCCCCAATGATGCCGAAAACGTTGAAAAACTGGCCGCCACAATCCGTTTGGTTGACATCCCGGATCTGACCCAACAATCCGACATCGCATGTTTTTTAAACAACGCGGATCCCCAGAGCTCTGGACCCGTTCCTGGGGACCGTTTTCATCCCGAATCGTTTTGTTGAAGGCCCCAGGGCATGGCAAGGCCCCCCCGAAGCCAAAAGTCGCCAACAACCTCCCGTCATTATGTTTTCGCGACGCCAGGATGTCAATATGCAAGCAAAAACTGCGAAGGTCGGTGACCGTTTCTTCTATCGGCGCCTGCGACGCCAGGCGCTGTGGGGTCCAGCGCAGATCCCAGAAGTCTGACTTGCAACAGTTTAGGCTTATGCACACCTGGAGGAGGGGGGAGCAAACATCAGGAGGGCCTGCCAGCCGCAGCGCGGCGGACCGCGAGCAGCCCCAGCCAGGCGGACCCCAGCACGGCCAGCGCCAGCGCCGCCGCGCGTGCGGCCGCGCGCCGCGGGGGCCACGCCCACAAGTGCGGGGCGGTTCCCGCGGCCTCGGCTGGCACACAACCTGCCGAAAACTCGCCTCCTCCTTCAGGAATCGAGCATTTCTACAAGTCCACCTCCTCCCTCACCACTCCTCCTGTGGTCTATATCTTCAAACCTGGGAGGTTGGGGGGAGGGACGACGTGGATATGCAAATGTCCTCCTGCGATTCCTTCCTGGTGCTGCATCCCTGGGATCGCCCCCCGCCCCCCGGGCCGTAGAAAAACGACCCGGACGAAAAGCGGGGAAGCGTTCCAGATCCCATGGAAGCGCATTGAGCAAACCCTTGACACAAGGTACCAAGTGGCATGGCCCCCCAACGAACATGAACCAAAGAGGCAAAGCCACGGGACGAAACCGATTCGCATTCATCAGGAGGGAGGGAATCGAGAAAATCTGAAAGGACAAGAACGGGAAGCGCCGCTGTAGTCTAATGGGCGTATTGGGCGAAGAAGAAAAGGAAGGCGAGGACAACGAGGAGTCGATGGCGAGGACGACGTGGCGAACGTGAGGATAGCGAGGAGGAGCATAGAGGAAGAGAAGCACAAGGACGAGGACGAAGAGAACGAGGGCGAGTACGAGGAATGCGGAGGGCGATGATGACGACGGCGACGACGACGACGACAGAGGACAGTACGAGGCAATTGGAGGAAGACGTTGCTCCTGGCGCCGCGCGGGGTTCTCTTGGGGCCTGTTGGGGGCTTCTTGGGGGCCCCTTGTGTCCTCTTATGGGCTTCTGGGGTCTTCTTGGGCTGTCTGGGCGCGTCGTGGGGTTCTGTGGGAGCTTTCTTAGGCCGTCTCGGCGCTGGGGGCCTCCTGGGGCGCTCCCGGGAGTCTCTTGGGGCCTTCTTGGCCCTTCTCGGGCCGTCTTGGGGTTCTTGTGAGCTGTCTGGGTGGCTCCTAGAGCGCTCTTGGAAGTCTCTTGGGGTCTTCTTAGGGCGCTCTTGGGCGTTCCTGGGGCTCTCCGGGGCGTCTTTTGGGCCTTCCTTGGGCCGTTGGAAAGCCCTCCAAGAGCGATTCGAACACGACGTCGATGCGGAGTCCCCTCTTGGGCCGATTTTTGGAGGATATCTCGAGCGAAACGGCCACTTTTCAAGAAACCGCCAGCGCAGTTTCAAAGTGCAGCGCGTACCCTATTATGAATTTTTACCACCAACAAACGGTCCACGCCAGGGGCGCTTCCCGTCATCCGCCGACCCCTTGGGGTTCATCGGCGCGTGAAATGTCTCCTCCTCCCCGAACCCCTCCCCCGGGAGCCCGATCCGGTCGATTTGGAAGGGGGGCGTCCCTCGGTAGGTGGGCGAACGCGCCTGGGGGCGCAGAAGGCCCCACAACAGACCAAGAGGGCCCCAAGATGCCCTTGGGCTGTCCACGAGGGCCATGGGATGCTGAAACATCGACCCCAAACGCCCGCACTGGCCGCCAGAAAATCCCAGAGGCCCCCAACAAACGCTCAAGAGGGACTCCCAAAACAAAAATCATGTCATTGCCTTCTTTCGTATGTTTTGCACATTCGCCCCTCGGGCGTTCACAACGTCCCAGAAGGCCCGCGAGGACGGGAAGATCGCTCAAAGACGGGCCACAAAATCCCCTAGAGGGCTCAAAAACAATCCCATTATAGCCGGAGTGCGGTATCCCCAAACAGGGTTTTTAGACCCACTGCGGTTTCCAAGGTCGATTGCGTGCCCGTCCAGTGCGGGCTGGCGTGGCATGTTAAAATATGCCTCCTCCTGCTCCTCCTCCTCCTCCTCCACCTCCTCTTCATCCCGAACGGCATCTCGGAGCCCAGAGTTGCGAGGACGTCTCCAGCGTAACGGGCTGGACAACCTCGCGCGCGGCATTTCGGACCTCAAAGTTGCGACGATGTCTCGGGCGAAACGTGCTGCGAGGAAGTCTCAGGCGAAACGAACCGGACCACCTCGAGCGCGGCGTCTCAGAGCTCCGAGTTGCGTGGGCCTCCTGGGGCCTCCTGGGGCCTCCTGGTGACCTCCTGGGGCTGGAGCTTCTTGGGGCTCCCAGGGGGGGATGTCTAACATGTGGCCGTCGGGCCCCCCCCCGGGCGGGGGGCCACAAGAGCAGGAAAAATCAACGAATCGACACTGGATGTGTATTAACTTGACACGTTCTGATAGGGGGCCTCCTGGGGCCTCCTGGGAGCCTCCTGGGAATCTCCTGCGGACCCCTGGGGCCTGTCCTGGGCGTCCTGCGGCCTCCTGAAGCTCTCTGGGGCCTCCTGGGGCTCCCAGGGTCCCAGGGGGGAAATGTAACATGTGGTCTTCTGGGCCCCCAGGCTGGACCACCTCTTGCGCAGCATCTGAGAGCTCAGAAATGCGAGAATGTCGTGTGCGAAACGTGCCGGACCACCTTGCGCACGGCATCTCAGAGCTCAGAGTTGCGAGGATGTCTCAGGCGAAATGGGCCGAACCACCTCTCGCAGGGCATCTCGGAGCCCAGAGTTGCGAGGACGTCTCCAGCGTAACGGGCTGGACAACCTCGCGCGCGGCATTTCGGACCCCAAAATTGCGACGATGTCTCGGGCGAAACGTGCTGCGAGGAAGTCTCAGGCGAAACGAACCGGACCACCTCGAGCGCGGCGTCTCAGAGCTCCGAGTTGCGTGGGCCTCCTGGGGCCTCCTGGGGTCTCCTGGTGACCTCCTGGGGCTGGAGCTTCTTGGGGCTCCCAGGGGGGGATGTCTAACATGTGGCCGTCGGGCCCCCCCCCCCGGGGGGCCACAAGAGCAGGAAAAATCAACGAATCGACACTGGATGTGTATTAACTTGACACGTTCTGATAGGGGGCCTCCTGGGGCCTCCTGGGAGCCTCCTGGGAATCTCCTGCGGACCCCTGGGGCCTGTCCTGGGCGTCCTGCGGCCTCCTGAAGCTCTCTGGGGCCTCCTGGGGCTCCCAGGGTCCCAGGGGGGAAATGTAACATGTGGTCTTCTGGGCCCCCAGGCTGGACCACCTCTTGCGCAGCATCTGAGAGCTCAGAAATGCGAGAATGTCGTGTGCGAAACGTGCCGGACCACCTTGCGCACGGCATCTCAGAGCTCAGAGTTGCGAGGATGTCTCAGGCGAAATGGGTCGAACCACCTCGCGCAGGGCATCTCGGAGCCCAGAGTTGCGAGGACGTCTCCAGCGTAACGGGCTGGACAACCTCGCGCGCGGCATTTCGGACCCCAGAGTTGCGACGATGTCTCGGGCGAAACGTGCTGCGAGGAAGTCTGAGGCGAAACGAACCGGACCACCTCGAGCGCGGCGTCTCAGAGCTCCGAGTTGCGTGGGCCTCCTGGGGCCTCCTGGGGCCTCCTGGTGACCTCCTGGGGCTTCCTCCTGGGCCGCCTGTGGCCTCCTGGACCCCACCTGGGGCTTCCTGGAGCTTCTTGGGGCTCCCAGGCGAGGATATCTAACATGTGGCCGTCGGGGCGGAGGGGGGGCACAAGAGCAGGAAAAATCAACGAATCGACACTGGATGTGTATTAACTTGACACGTTCTGATAGGGGGCCTCCTGGGGCCTCCTGGGAGCCTCCTGGGAATCTCCTGCGGACCCCTGGGGCCTGTCCTGGGCGTCCTGCGGCCTCCTGACGCTCTCTGGGGCCTCCTGGGGTTCCCAAGGTCCCAGGTACGCTACGGTACTCCCGATCGGCACAGAGGCCGTGTCCTGCTACAGGCTACGGGAAAACAACTCGCGATAGAGTGGCAGGGGCAGGCTCACAATCATTCGACTCCGCCTGGAAAAAGCGGCGCTGTTGCCACTCAGAGAACACGCGAGTGCCGTCAAGCTCACAATTTCATCTTTTGCTTTCCAAATGAGGGAAAAGGAGGGGGAGGGGAGGGGAGGGGAGAGGAAGGGGAAGAACACAATCAATGCTGGTATTGCTGCCTTCATCAATCACTCCAACGTTGCCGAGGCCTTCCTCTCGCCCTGTAAGGGTGATGCCCTTGGTGCGCCTCGCCCAGCATAGCCGGCTCCCATTTGTGAGCTGCGCGAGATAACTGTGGAGCGCTCCCAGGGGCCAAACTGACGAGGATGTTGTCCCGACGTCGATTGCGCATCTCGCTCCAAGCGGTAATGGGGTACCTGAGCATGGCAGCATTGAGCCAGCCCTTCATGCGGCTTCCGGTCGTCTCCCATGGCTCGTCGCCTACGCGCACCCAGCCGACCATGCGTCGCATCATCTTTCTGTGTAGGGCGTCAAAATTGTCCAGGTGGCTTGACGTCAGCGGCGTCGTCGGCAAGCTGTACAGAACCGTAGGAGATATTTCGGCATCGAACAGCTTGAGCCGCAAGCGTTGCAATCAGTGGACAGGATCTTTGTGTTCGCCCCATTGATAATCAGCCCCGTTTTGGTGAGCTCACGTGTCACGATCTCCGCCATCTCCACAGCTTCTGCCAAATATTTCCTAAAGATCAACAGGTCGTCAGCACGTCGCAAATTGGTCAGGCGCTCGTGCTCCTGGCCCCGAAAAGCGCCATGCTGTCCGAGTCTAACTTTCCATCGCCTGATCACAGATTCTAAGGCGGAGTTGAAAAGCATTGGACTCAGCACGCCCCTTTGCCGGACACCTCGTCGAATCGGAAACAAGTCGCCCCCAGCTCTGCCCGTCTGCTGCGCGCGCAGACGCCGCAGAAGAAGGATGTACTTGTTGTCGACGCCCTGCTCCTCCAGCGCTGTGAACGAGGTGTTGTGCTCGACCTTGGTGATTGCCTTCTTCAAATCAACGCCGACGATCCAAACGGGGGCGTTCCACTCGAGGGATTTGCCGATGACGGATTCGAGGATGAGCAGCGCGTCCTCTGTGCCCTTCTGCGGCCGGAAGCCCATTTGTTCTGGTGGCTGCGCCCCCTCCAATGTCGAAACCAGACGGTTCCGCAGCATCTTGGCAAAAATCTTGTGCGACACGTCTAATACTGCAATCGGTCTCCAATCGTTGGGATCAAGTGGGTACCCCGTCTTCGGTAGCATGATGAAGATGAGCTCCCCCCACTCTGGCGGCATGTCTCCGGA